TTAGGTTAACTTTTGCAGTTAACAAAGATATCAGAAAAGATAATTAACAGAATTTACTAACTGATAATATGTTTGGTCAAATATAAGTGCAATATAATGAAAACTACAAACAATTACACAATTAAGCACAAAGATTTAGGAAACTGTAAATTGTTAAGTTAAGAAATAGCAACAAAACAAATAAGTAGTTTATTTATAAGACTTAATAAAAAAGATTTTCTAGATAATCTAACAAAACTTAGAATAATACAAGAGTGCCAGAAAGCAGGCTTAATAAAAGACATTTGAGAGTCTGAATGAAGGCCAGAAGAAACAAAATATTGAAAACACAACTTAGCTTATCAGACAATAGTCAAGACAAAAGAAATAAGAATAAATATCAGAGCAGAAAACCATCTGTATAAAGTATACAGTTATGGGACAAGAATAAGAGACTTAGTTAAAACCAAATCTTAGATAGCAAGTAGTAGCACAATAAACAGATAGGGCTTACTATACTTGAACCAACTCATAGACATGAAAGAAGAGAGTCTAATTATATGAAAACAGCTTAAAAGTCTTCAAGAACTGTTATGTAAAAAAAAAAAAGCTAAATGGTTTAATAAAATAAAAGAAAAGATGTTAATAACACAGACAAGCAGAAAAATATATAACCAATACAAAATCAATAACTACAATACTCAGGCACTAATAATTAATTGAACAAAGATATTAGTAGATAGAAAAAAGAAAGAGTGAATTATAAATGGGCCAAAACACAATCAACAATTTAGTAAAACATCTAGAAAGAAGAAGAAAAAGATTTTAGCTGAATATTGGCTTTTGTGTAAGGTAGAAGGAAAGGCATACACAGAGATAAGTAAATACAAAGAATGTAAAAATGAAACAGAACAATTAACAGATAATTCTAAAGATAAATAAGATAGAACAATAATATAAAAGCAGTTTCAGAAACACTTATAGAAAAAGGCAGTAACAAGATTAATGCAACCTCAAAACAGATACTAGAAAACAGAACAATAAAAGAATGGAAAAGAGAAGAAAGTAGACTAATCAGGCTAAAACAAATAGAAGAACTTGAAATAAAATTAATCAAAAAACAAAAATTAGATAGGGAAATCACAGCTTACTTAATAAAGCTCCTAATGAGAAATAAGATGAGAAACAAAAACAAGTATATCTTTTATACAGATAGTGTATTATATAAAGGGAAAAGAAAAAACAGCATAGAAAAGATGTGCATTGGTTGGACACAAATCAGTAATAAAGAAAATTGGCCAGAAAAAAAAACAACATTAGGACTTGAAGACTAGTCTTCAGCAACAATAGCAGAATTTGCAGCAATATGGTCAGTAATTTTAATTGTTTCAAAAGAAAAGAATATAGAAGTACATACAAATAGTCTTACAATGTTAAGAAATATTAATAAAGCAATTTAAGAGTTAGAAAATAACAAAGTTTTTAAAAAGAAAAATACAAAATGAATAATAAATATTGTAGATTTAGTCAAAAGCAAGAGTAACAGAATCAAAATAATTAAAGTTAAAAGTTACAGTAATGATAAGTGGAATGACAGAGCAAATGCACTCACAAAGAAAAAAGCAATATATAGAATGACAATATCTATAAAGAAGATTAAGTGTAATATAATAGAGTACTATCTAGAATGAGAAAACAAAAAAGTTGATATACCAACAAGACTTTTCTGCAAAATAGTCATAAATGTCAGAGTTGGAGCTAATTAGAAAGAAACAAATCTAATTCAAGTGTTAAAACCAAAAACAAAGAACACTTAATATAATTGTTTAAGCTTTTGAAAAGAGATGAATAGAACAAAAGACATATATTGCATGATAAGAAAACTTAGTACAAGAAGAGCAACAACAATCAAATATCTAATGAACAATCTACTAATACTAGAAGAATTAAACAAAGAAAGACTGGAAATATATATATCAACAGATTGCCAAGTATGTCAAACAGGTGAAAAGGAAACTCAAGCATATTTAGCAAGCTGCAGTGAACAAAAGAGCCTGTAGAAGAGAATTTAAAAGGTAGCAACAGCATGGAATAGTCTTAAGAAAAACAAAAAAAAACAGAATTTTATCTTAAGTGCTATATGAAACAACATTTGGAAAAACAGAAACAAAAGAAATTATTAACAAAAGAGCATTAATAAAAGGGCTAACTACAAACAAGATGAAAAAAAGGATTAGTCAGATTCTAGATAAGCAGGCAACACAGAAATGCATAGAAATAATAACAAGAACAGTATAGAATACATTCTATGATTATGTATGGAGAGTTCAATATAGAAAAGTGCAAGAATAGAAAAAGAAGATGAACATAATAAGCAAAATAAAAAAAGGTGCTTAAATTAAAAAAAAGTCAAGAAAAAGAACAAAGAAAAATGAGCAAGTAAAGGAAGAAAAAAAAAAAAGAATATAGAAAAAATGAACTAAATAAAGAAGGAAGCTTGGAAGACAATTGATATGCTTGTTACAGAAGAGGAAAGACCCTTCTGGTATAACTTTAAATAGTTAGATGAGCATTCTATCTCTAACTGAAATAGTGTAGTAGGTTGCACTTAGGTACCAATAGGGTGGCTGAGTGATGCTAGACTTAGGTATTGGGAAATTCTATGTAATTATAAATGTATATAGTTTCAAGAATCTTAATAAAATACTAGTATAACTACTTAAGATTAAAAAAAACAAAATAAATAACTTAATTATTTAACTTCATTTTATTAACTTTATATATGCTTTATAATATACAGATTCTAGTTTCTAAAAAATTTTTTTTTAATATTAAAGATAAGTACTTGCAATTTAGGCTTTTATTAATAATATGTTTCAGCTTGTAATAGTTACAGAGAGCAATCATAGAAAAAATGTACAACTAGTTATTCATACAACTTTAGACATTATCTAATTTAAGTAGTTTACCTGAAGGTTTTATATTAGTTGTCATATCTAGAACCTGCTTGTAAATCCTCTATTTAAACACTCTGGTTTCTGTATCTATCTATCTACCTATCTTACTAACTGTCTTAGTTTTTTACTAGTATATATATGCTATGATTACTAAATCTTTAAAGCAGTTCATTTATATAGAGAACTTTTAATCTTGTACTAAACCTACTAAAACCTTCTATTATTCAATTTTCAACTAATTTGATACTGCTATGACAAAGATCAATATTTATAGTCAGGATAATCCTTAAACTACTACATCCTTGTATAGTTTATACCATCTTAGTACTTCTTTTATAATCTCACCAATATATTGTATGCCTTTGCAAATTCTTCTATACTATCAATCCAGTTAACTATGTATAATGTAACTTTATATTCAATTCAATTAATAACCAGATTGGTGGGCCTCTTTACTTAGAGTTCTTGTTTGTACAGATTATCTGCTTTAGGTTTCTATCTTCAGATTAAGATTTTTACAGATGGTACCATTGAAAATTATACTATCTCTCTACTCAGAATTTCCAAACATGGTTTCTTATAAAGTATATACTTTTCAGATTTATTTGTATAACATTGCACACTTCCAAAATTAGTCTTAATACAATCAGAATTACAGAGTTACAACTTCAGATACCCTATACAAGTTGCCAAAATAGGACTATTTTATTTTTACTACCAATAGAATTTGAACTCTGAACCTACTATTTAAAAAATGACAACCCAACCACTACACTAAGATCAACATCCTCTAGTTTCTAAAATTTAAATTCAGAATACATAATATTATTATATAAAATATATTGAAATTAGTTTAAATTTTTTTTTAAATTTTTTTGACTATTAGTAAATAATTAAGTAAACTAATATATTTTAAATTAGAAAATTGCTATTTATTACTAGTAGTAATCATCATTAATGTATTAGTAGTTAGAGGTTAGTGTTACATTTTGCTATATAAGTAATCTTTATGTTACACTTAATCTTGCAAATTTATTGGCTATTACACAAAGGTAATAATCACTGATGGTAATAAATAGCAAACTTCTTTAAATTATTATCTATTTTATACAGATAATAATGATATATTATTATCTTTTTGATAATGTAAAAAATTTAATTTAATATTTTAGAACATTTTTAAGTTTTTTACTTTCTTTACTATTTGAACTGTAAAAAAATAAATTTCATATTAAAATCAATACAAACATTAATTAGTTGAAGTTTTTTATTGCATTTATACTTATTAACTAAATTCAAATGAATCCGGTATAATTATTTGACCAATTACAATTGAAATGTCATGCATTTAATAAAATACTGAACCTTCCTTTTTTTTTTTTTCTCAGTGAAATATGCTTTGTTGTAGGTTTTCTGTATTAACATTTGCAGTTAGCTTTTTTTTTAACAGTACGTAAAAGACTTAAATGTATAGTATCGAATTCAACTTGCATTATTCTTTTAATAGTTAGATAATAGGTAACTGTGCAACGTGACACAAAACCTTATTTTTAGCCAATAAAATTTAACTAAAGTTGTCAAACAATCAGCCAATCACAGCGAAATCCCGCTATGCTTTAGGAGATACAAAAGTAAACTAAACTATCACTCTCTATATGTAAGCAATTTATTGTCTAAAATCGAGTAGAAAACAATTATTACAGTATTGTCCAAAGTAAAAAACCAAAAAGTCTAGCTTATCATTACTATAAAAATGATATTTTATATTTAGACTTCCTAGCTATCATTTGCGACACTCGTATTTCACAAGCACTATCATACGAAATATGTTCGTAATAATTAAAACAAGATTCTAATTTCCAATATACGTGTGCAGTAGTATAATAGTGGACTGGTCATTTTAAACTCAAATCTAATTCGTCATTTTGATGAAACTTATCAAAAGTATTATGACAAGTGTGATAGATTAACGATAAGTTTTGAAAATAAGTTATATAAAAAAAATGAATATTCTAATTATAATTGTCAAGATTTATATAATGAAAATGATACCTTTTTTCAAAGTTCTCTTCGTTGGTGAAACGGGTGTAGGAAAGTCTACCTTAATTAACGTATTGACTAATTATTTTCGCAACGGTAGCTCTGATAACATTAAAATTGCTGTAAAATCTAAGTACTTCAAAGTCACTGAAGAAGGTGATACTTTTTTCTTTTTACTTATATGACATACAATATACCAAAAGATGCATTTAATTTATTTTTTGTCTAAAGACCTCGAACATCCATCTTCTGAATTTGATGTGAACGATCAAACAAGCAGTCAGACATCCGAATGCTTTCATTATGATTTCGAACATTCAACACATCCTGAATACAAATTTAGATTTATTGATTCCCCAGGTTTAGGTGATACAAGATATCAAGATCGAAAAAACTTGGAACTTATAATTGAAAAAGCGGTTAATGAAAAATATTTAAATGCTATTGTATTTGTCATTAATGGAAGACAGGCTCGATATTCAGAAGTAATAAAAAATACCATTAATGGCTTTAACAATTATTTGCCAAAATCTCTCTTGGAAAATAATCTTTTTTTAATCATAACTCAAACCAAAAAACTTGGGGCGATCTTTCAACTAGACCTTTTCAAAAAAGAAGTAGCAATACCAAAGGTTATTTTGAATTTCTTTTGGATTTAATATGTTGAATTTATCTTATTTAACTATCTAATCTTTACAAATAGGATGTATTTTACATGGATAATCTAATGTTTTCGTGCAACCCTAATGAGTGGCGATCTGATTCTCTATCAAAACTTGAAGTTGAACAAAGTTGGGAATTATCACGAAAAACAATCGTTAATTTCTTGAATGCTATTGAGAATAGTGAATTTAAGTCTACCGAAGACTTTCAAAAAATTGCAGAACTTCAAAGGGATTTAGCTACACAAATTCAGAAAGCCATCGAAGAAATCAGCAAAATTAATGGTGCAATTATTCAACTTTTAAATGCCAAACACGAATGTGAAAACAATGAAAATATCTTGGAAGATAGCAAAAACTATACGCGAGAGGAAGTGATTGAATTTCTTGAGTACATTCAAACCCCTCATAAAAATATGATTTGTATAAATCACCTTGAATCAATTTGCCATGAAAATTGTCCAAATTGGTTTGTTTGCACGTGTGATCGTATCGACTTTCCCGGAAGATGCAGAATATGTAGATGCGGGTGGTCGGTGTAAGTTTCAAATATTAATAACCAAAGTAATTTTTTGTTAATGGTGTTATCTATACTGCAAGCGATCTAATTCATATATCGACTTTTAAATATATGACGACATATGTAATTCAATAGCCATTATCTACAAAATTACAAAGTCGTTAGACGCCGTCAAACATTCAAAGAAGTGATTAACGAAATGAAAGAAAGATATGATAGACATTTTGCTAATTCAATTGAATTAAAGGTGGAGGAAAAAATGAGATGTTCGAATCTCGAAATTCTTGTAAAGGGTGTTGAATCGTGCTATAACAGCATTCAACGTGACATCGAATCTTTGAAAATCATTAGCAAATTTAATTTTGATAGAGGTTTGAAATCTGCCTTCGATAAATTAAAGAGTATAGCTGAGAATGTCTCAGACGAAAATCTCAAAACAAGGCAACTTAAAAGGATTTCTGAGATTGAGGAATTAAGCAAAATTTGATGAAAGTTATTTTAATTGAAAATTTACTTGATGCAATTTTTGTTCGTGTCATGATTGTTACTCGGTTTTTCATCCAGATATGTTAGCTTCCTTCTTTCTTTTTGTTATTATTAGTGGAAGATTGCTATGTTATATGCAATATATGTTTGCTAATAAATAGTTACAACATAGCGATTAAAACTATTAGTCAGACAAACGGAATAATAAATATTTTTTTATAGTCAGTACATATACGATAATATATCTGCTAATTGATTATTGATACTTTTATTCTTCATCACAATATCTATTTAATTCTTTATATTTTTCACAAAGTCTTGTCTATGGCCATTCAATTTTTTTTCGCTAGGCTCACCGGTAAACTGAACAAAGTTTTTCCTATAAAACCTATAAATCAATTTCTGTTTAATTCTTTCTTTAAGAAATTTATTCAATAATTTTCCCTATCAAATTGAGCAATTCGATCACATTTTGAACACTGCAAATGATATTTTTTTACTAGTTCTACCTGTTTCTTATTCACTTTTAAGTCAGCATTGCATAAGGAGGAAGAACACTTATGTCCACATTGACAAGATAAATGCTAATAGAATTTAATGTCCATTTTACGACCATTTCTTTGGGCTAAATTTCAGAAATATTCATCTTTCGATTTGGTGAGAATCCTTTAAGTGGCTAAGAAATTCAGAAAAGGATTGGAATTCTTGTCTACATTTACATAAAAACTTATAATAATTACTTTACGGTGACATTTTCTTTCTTGAAATGTTCGATAAGTAGGATTTTTTTCTTGATGGAGAAACAAAGAAATCGCTATTCTCCTCATTGGATTGTTAAGTATTAGAAGTCGCCCGGTTAGCAGGAAGAGAAATATTAAAATCAGTCATATTTTTTTTAATAACTATTATATTTAAGATAGATAGCAATAATCCGCTTTTGTTCTATCTTTATTATTTATTCTATAAGTAGCACTAGGGGAAATATTTCTTTGTGCCCAAAAAAGCTTAATGCAAAAATAAACCAAGTTTATGAAATTAGAAATTTAGGGCTAGGACATTAAAGTTAGAGACGATAGGAGTAAATAATCGCCTCCTACATGAAAATTTCATTCCCGCCATTTTTAATTAGTGCTCCAAGACAGGTTTAACCACTCATTTTTTCTTGTATTTTATTTTTCGGTTTTTTTTGTTTTTCTTCGCTTTGCTCACGTGTCGGGCTGATCCAATTTTGCGTGTTTCGATTGGATAAATTCCTTTTAGGGTTTGTATCATCATTGTCTGATTGGTTAATAAATCCAATTTAATTTTACATTATTTATACAGTTTAGAGAAAAACGAAAACTAATCATAATGAAATAAAAAAAGCTGTATAGAAGGTTTGATTAGAGTTGTAGGACTCCATGGCCAAAAATAAGATCTAATTCTCGTCCGTTTAAAAAAGTTAATATAGTAATAACTTCTCAAACCCCGATAAAATCAATTTATTACTAAGCTATTTTTTTTAACGGACGAGAATTAGATCTTATTTTTGGCCAGGGCACAAAATTTCCGGATGCTTTTTCTCCGGCGGTGTTTATTTTAACCGGAACTTAGAAAACTCAGCCGGATGTAGCAGTTTTTTTAATAAAGATATTGTAATATATAATATTTGTTAATATTTATATACATACGTATATGAGTGACGAAAAGGGAAAACCTGTAAATCATCTCACTCAATGAGTGAAATGATTTACAGGTTTTCCCTTTTCGTCACTCATATATGATATCATATTCCGACTGATGAAAAGTCAAGGCGGAAATTGTCATGACGAAACGGAAATCTCGGCATTGCTTTTTTTATTTCATTATGATTGGTTTTCGTTTTATTAAAAAAGTACTCTAAACTGTATAAATAATGTAAAATTAAATTGAATTTATTAGCCAATCAGACAAACTTATGGCTATGACCATTTAATCTATCTATTTCTTTGATCGTAACGTCATTTCATAATTACGTGATAATCGACAGTTACTTTTGTATTCATTTTACGTATTACATTTTTTTGCAGATTACATTTTGCGTAATAATTTTCTAGCTTATTTAAGTCTAATAGAAATTCTATATAAAGGGGCGATAATCGCTAGTAGAGATCCCTTTTTAGTTCTTGAGTACCATTGTACCGATCCTTTTGGAATTTCGCTTATTCTTGCATTGTACCTTGTCATATAATAAATTGCTATCCCAATATTAGTGTAATTATATTCTTCCAGATCACAGCCGATAATCAAAAAGATGCTCTTTTTAGATCTCCGAATGACGGTATCATTACATTCTTCCGAATCACAGCCGAAGATGCTTTCGAATGATGGCAAGCATCACATTACGGTGCATTTGTGAAATACTCTAAAATTTGAAAATTTAGACAACTAATATGTAAATATAGATTTTAACTGAGATAATCAACATTTCCCAAGTTATGATGCGGCATTTAATAAATTCTTATGTCTAATGGGATGCGTTGGGGAGTGGGAAGATGGGTTAGTCTGTGGGAAAGTTAGGTTAGACGCGTTATCAGTACAGATCAGGGATTCAAAATTTTTTTTCGGGGTTTAAATACTTGGATTTGGTGATAAATTGTTTGCTTAATTTCGCAAATGCGCCGTAATGATGTAATTTATGTTCTTCCGGATCAGTCATTTAGATACGGTTACAGTTAATGGCAATGTAATTTCGTATTTGAAAATGATCAGTTTTTTAGTTTCTTATGATTTTACATTATCGCGAAATTTATAAAAATTGCAAATTAAATTGAATTATAATTGTTTTTTACAATTTAGTTGATCGTAATTGCATAAAAATTGTGTTGCAATTAATTTTTTGGTACCTCTGATCATAATCTGAAGCCTAATGCTTTTATATTTTGGAATTTCTAATCTTCATTTCCTAGCCCTTGTTGAAAGTTGAATCGTCACCCATTTGCATTATCCCATTTTTTTAATTCGCACGGCTGTTTTTGACCAAATAAGAAAATACATTGTATTCGATCTGTCATAGCCGCCATAATATCCTTATCCATCTTAATAAAAATTAAAAAATTAGCGTATGCTCAACACAACCTTCTCTTATTTTATGGACCTAGTGATCAAAATCAATTAATTTTTATATCATTAGGTTCACCTACATATATATAGTCGTCAATACTGGTCAATCAAGTAAAAATAAGTCTCAATACACTCTCGCATTACTTAGAGTACACTGATGTAAGTTATTTCGATTTTCATGCTTTATGCTAAGTTTGACATTAAACGAAATTTAACATAAAACAGTTTGATTGTCTCGCATGAATAATTACTATGCATTATTTCAAGAATCACATTGGTATAGTTGACAGCAAAAGTTTCAATGCAGCATTCGGCTATGGCATACATTTGCCTGAATTTATTGTATATTGCATTTCTGCGCGCATCACAATGCTGGAACGCGGAATTTCATAAATTAATTATGGCACCAAATTATGCACACAAGTGTTACTCTGAACTGTATACTGTATTTTAAGGAACATGATTTCTTAACATCCTTTAAAATTTAATGTAAATTCAATTGATTAATAATCAATTTTATCAGCAGGTCCTTTATACATCTACTTCACGTTCATAAACAAATAATAACAGTGTTACAAAAATATTAGTTAGTTAATCATATGAATTCATTCGTATGTTCGAAGATCTTATCTAATTGTATAGTGATAATCTTGGGACCAGTCCTAACCCTAAATTCATGAGGCGCACGAATTTAAGTTACGCAGTGTTTATTACAGGGTAACCCAAATGCTGCAAGGGTGAAAATGTGGATAAATGGAAGACAACATGGAAGACGGAAAATAAAAGATAGTATTATTTATCAAACATCTTTGAGTTTTGCTTAGGTCTCAAGTTTAATAAGAAAGTGTAATTTTTTAAGCCAAAAGATCAACTTAATCGTTATCAGTTTACCCAATAAACTTTTCAAATAAACTATTAAATCTATATTGACTTGCAATTTCGACTTTTTGATCCTCCGGATAAAATTCGCCGCACAAATTCCCAAAAATATCAAACAATTTACATATATATTCGGTTATTTGATCAATTTTAATGGCTACATAACAACACTTCGCTTGATTAAAAGCAGCTACAATTGGAAACAAATAATATATACGTATCAATTAGAATTTAGCGCTATCTTAAGTCGTACAACCTTTAAATTAGTCCATCTATTTAAGAGGTTAAGACATCATTATCAATTTCGTTCTGTTATAGTAACTTGTAAAAAAACGAAGAGATCTCCCATTATATATGGCAAGACTTTGGTGAAAGTGGTTAACTCGGTGAACCATAAAAATAAAAAATTTGCTATTTTTTTCTCCCAAGGAACTTTATTCCGAAGGCAAGAAATGAGTACTACTGTACCACGACTTACAAAATTAGCGCAAGACAATAGTAGAACAACGTGGTGGTTGAGTTATTACCCACCCCGTCTTTTGACCCTATTTCTCCTAGGCTCTCTCACGTCCTTTGTAATTGACCATTTGCTCACTCAGAATCATATTACAGAGTATCCAAATGACATTACAAAGTTGATTGACACCGCTGCTTGGATTCCTCCTACTTGCGGTTTATCCGCAATTTTAGTAGGTTCCATGTTTCCTTTAGCTGATTATTGGTTCATGCGAAAGCCGCAAGAATTTCAAAAAGAATGGAGTAATGTTATGAGGTATAATTGGGTATAATTGTATTGCATTCATATAATAATTATAATTTTTGTTAAATTTTATTTTCTGATTTTTTCCCTAAATAGGTGTATGGGTGGATTTATTGGCGTTGCATATGCTGCCACGGTAAGGGTTGGGTTCTTACTTTAATTTTGTTTTTTTTTCTAATCTAATTATAATCTCATTTTTTTATTTTATTTATTAAACGAAAAAGAAACTATCTTGGAGTAGCAACTATCAAGTTTCTTGTACGTTATCACTAATATCTATTGTATTATGGTTCCTATTTGACCGAACGATACACGGATTTATCATGTCTGCGTTATTTTCGTCGGTAGGAACAGGTGTTATGTACATGTTAGTTACTAATGGAATTTACAGGTTAGTAAGGTTGAAATTTCCTTTGATCTCACCATATATTATTATCATCTTGAGTAATCAAATCAACTTGATTTATAGTTTTACACATGCTGACTTTTTTGGTGTGCGTTCTTGGATTCCTGTACGTACTCAATTGTTTTTTTATATATAATTGCTTTAATATTTTTATGAACTTCGATGATCTGACCTTCGCTATTCCTCGTTTTTATTCATCTAGTGTATTCTATATTCATCATGTGTATGTTTTGGTACATTAGGAAGGCAATTAATGATAGTACCAGAAGATTGGTATGATAGGATTGATCAAAACAAAAATCACGAAATAACTGGTTTGACACCAGCGAAAGGTGAATGACAATTATTTAAGCTTGACACTGTAGGGTGGTGGTTGATAAAAACATTGAGCACATCGGCTTTATTTATAAGATTTTATTATTCATCATCATTTGTTTTCATTTCATTTTTATTTTTGAATGGACAATTGTTTTTGGAATCTCATTTACGGAAATTAGGATAATCAAAGGGAAACAAAGACATTTATAAAATTATTAAAAAAAACAAAAGAAGTGTCAATTTACTAGCTTATCATACAGTTACTTAACAAAATTTGAACAATTTTTACAAACGAAAGGTTCAACGTGTTTCTTTTATTGTCTAATTTCTTAACATGATTATATTAACGATCGATATATATATTTTTAAATCAATGATATGTAACTTCTATAACATATTAAAAAAACCAATAAAGTGTATATAATTATATATATTTTTTATTAGTTTCCGTTCTTTTCTTTTATTACTTTTTGTTACTTTTTTTACTTTTGTAAGATACTTATATAAAACTTCGTTTTAAACACAGTATAACAGATTTTCAGATTTCGCATTTATTTAAGAATGTATCTACATACTTTTAACCAGATATGTTTTTAGAATTAGGGTGCAGTTTTAGGGTCAAGTATAAAGGCCCAAAATTTTAGTTAAGGTTAGGTTTTTAGAGATTTTAACTATTTTGACTTCTGGTGATTTTACTTCTAGTTGAAATTAGTAAATTATTTTTTTTTTGTAGTTTTGTTCTTATTTTATTAATTTGTTAAAAATGTTTTTAGAATATAAATTACATGAATTTATTTCAACTACAAATTTATAAAAATAAATTTAATTTACACCTATTAAAGTAATTAAAGTTTATCTAAAATTTAGTAATATAAAATATTATTAGTAGAATAATTATATAGATTCTAATTTATAAATTACAAGATAATTTTGTAATATATTGGTTTAAGTAGTAAACAAATATTAAATTTAATATATTGCTAATTTAAAATAGTTTATAAAAGTAAGAGTAGCTATTTGTATAAGTTATTTATATATTGTTACTAAAATATTATTAAAGAAATATTATATTAATAGTGAAGTGGATAGGTTGTCAACCCCCAAGTGGCAGGTCTAGAGTTCAAATCCCAATGATAATGAAAAATTTGCAATTTTTTCTGTGTTATGGTTAATTGTCTTCTATAATTAGTTGTGATAAGATACTTATAATCTATGATATACTAGCATGACTAGAAGGTCTAGGCACTTATACAACATTGTATGAAGGAACACAAACCAGTACCAGGTGGTATGAACCCAAGATAAGTTCTTAGACCATGTAATCACAAGAACAAGGTAGAAAAACAGAAGCCCACTTGGAAGATCCAAGTAGAAAAGTAACTTGAACCTTTGATAATGTTACTGTAAAGACTAGACTTATGAAATAGAACTAGAATTTATAAAACTAGGCAAATGTGCTAGTCTTTGAGGAGGAACTGGATAAATCAACCAGACTATCAGAATTTCCAGGTTTTAGTAAAAAAGAGTACAATGTTAACAAATATATAAACCAGAGATATATGGTTTTGACTTACCTTTCTAGGCTATCTGAAATAACAGCTTGGTTGAACTTGAATTGAATACCAAAATAGTAAGGATATGTTGTAAAATCAGTACTGAAGTTAAGATGAACTCTACAAGGGCATAGCAGTTTAATAGTATACTCTGACTGTTAGTGTTGGTCTCGATCATAGCTATACTAGGTCAGCTATGAGAATAGGATACAAAAGATTTTAGAAGATTTAGTACAAGATCAAAGTTTCCAAAAAACTACTTTAAATATTTAGTGACTATGGTATATTTTCACTAGCATCAGACAGGATCATTGGTAGACAGAAGTAGATAAGTGGATATAGAAACTAGAGTAGTTAAATAGAGAACCTACAAGCAGATTCAAGGTATGGCAGCTAGTGTAGAACCTTCAAGCAGATTACTTAAATTAGACAATGACTAAAGTTGTATGAGTGACTAGTTGTATACTCTTTTTATATTTGCCTCCTGTAGTTGTAATGCAACTATTAGTCAAATATACTATTAATAAAATCCTGGATTACAAGTACTCACCTTAATATTAAAAAAAATATATATATTATATTAATAAAATAATAAAATAAATATACTATTAAACAAACAGATATATATAGTATAATATTTATTTTCTTAATATAAATAAAAATCAAATTAAAATTTATAAATAATATATAGACTAAATAAAAATATTAAAAAAAGTATTTAAATAAAATTCTAATAGTTGATAAAGACAATTTTCATCAATTCAACTCTTTCCGACGATCACCTGGACCAAGTTGGCACCGAAAGTAGATTGAAGACTCTGGCTCCAAAGTGGATAATATT